TTGCAGAAAGGAAAAATCAAACCATCATGAATATGGTGAGAAGTATGTTGAAAGGCAAGAATTTACCTAAAGAGTTTTTGGGTGAAGCTGTTTCGACTGCAACATACATTTTGAACAGATGTCCTACAAAGAAGCTAGAAGGAATTACTCCAGAAGAATGTTGGTCTGGTGTGAAGCCTAGCTTGATTCATCTGAAGGTATTTGGATCTATTGCACATAGACATGTGCCAGATCAGTTGAGAAGAAAACTTGATGATAAGTCAAGTCAAATGATTCTAGTTGGATATCATTCGACAGGTGGCTACAAGTTGTTCGATCCAGTGAAAAAGCAGATTGTGATCAGCAGGGACGTGATCATAGATGAGTTTAAAGAATGGGATTGGACTGAAAATATCAAGAAAGATTCAGTGGGAATCCTTCTTGAAGAGCCAGAAACTCAAGTCGAAAGAGAAGTTCGACAAGAGGATCCAGCAGATATACCAAGTACAAGCAGACCTCAAAGAACAAGATGCATGCCTGCAAGATTGCAAGATTGTTTGATTACATCAGATGACGTAATAGATAATGAAGGTGAGCTGGTACATTATGCTTTCTATACAGATGTCAAACCCGTTAATGCAGCTGAAGCATTAAAGGATTCGAAGTGGGTGAAAGCAATGAACGAAGAAGTAAAGTCTATTGAAGAGAACAACACTTGGTCACTTGTCGAATTGCCTCAAGGCAAGAAGGCAATTGATGTCAAGTGGGTATACAAAGTGAAAACGAATTCGAAAGGTGAAGTAACTCGACATAAAGCAATACTTGTGGCGAAAGGATTTCTACAGAAAGAAGGAATAGACTTCGATGAAGTTTTTGCACCTGTTGCTAGGATCGAAACAATCAGGTTGGTTGTTGGTCTAGCAGAAATAAACAGTTGGCACATATGTCTGATGGACGTGAAGTGTACATTCCTAAATGGACCCTTAGATGAAGAAGTCTATGTTAAACAACCAGTTGGGTTTGTGAAACATGACGAAGAAAGAAAGGTGTACAGGCTACATAAAGCCCTGTATGGATTGAAACAAGCTCCAAGGGCTTGGAATAAAAAAATTGATAGTTTTCTAAGGGAGAAGGAATTTGTGAAGTGCACAACTGAACATGTAGTATATGTAAGAAGAAACAAGAGTAAATTGTGTATACTATGTCTCTATGTAGATGATTTGTTGATAACAGGTAGCTGTAAAAGTGAGATCGAAGACTTCAAAGGTGATCTCAGCAAGGAATTCAAAATGTCTGATTTGGGTGAGATTTCATATTTCCTTGGAATCGAATTCTACAAGAGCAGTAGAGGTTTGATGATGCATCAAAGAAGATATGCAGGAGAAATTCTCAAGAGGTTTGAGATGGAAGAATGCAACTCAACTTCGATACCTGCAGAACCAAGACTGCAACTATCGAAATATGCAGATGAAGATGATGTCGATCCAACCCAATACAGAAGACTTATTGGATCATTGAGATACCTTTGTCATAAAAGACCTGACTTAGCATATAGTGTAGGTATGGTAAGTAGATTCATGCAAAAGCCAAAGGTATCACATCTAGCAGCAGTGAAGAGGATACTAAGGTATCTCAAAGGAACTTTCGATTATGGCATTTTGTTTCCTGCAGTTGATAAAGGAAAAGAATACAAGTTAGTGGGATACACTGATTCGAGTTGGTATAGTGATGCTGAAGATCGAAAGTTAACGACAGGATATGTGTTTATGCTAGGTGGTACACCAGTTGCTTGGAATTCAAGAAAGAAACCAGTAGTGGCATTATCATCATGCGAAGCAGAATACATAGCTGCTTCTCTTTGTGCATGTCAAGCAACTTGGATGGTGAACTTGGTCGAAGAGATAACAGGGAAAAATCATGGAGCAATTATCATGAAGATAGACAGCATGTTAGCTATTAATCTGGCGAAGAACCCAATAGCACATGGTCGAAGTAAGCACATCGAAATGAGGTTCCATTATCTTCGAGAGCAGGTAGCAGATGGGAAGATGAATTTGGAACACTGCAGAACTGAGAATCAGATTGCAGACATCATGACGAAGGGAGTGCAAGTCGAAGTATTCAGAAAGCTAAGAGCCATGATGAACATAGATAGTTTAGACACAATGAATTAAGTGGTGTGTTAAATTGTAATCCAATGTGTCGAAACTATGTGTCGAAAAGATTTGATTTGTTTTAGATTTAAATAGATTTGATTTAAATCTAGAATAAATTAGATTTGATTTAGTAACAAAAAGATATTTTGGGCTTTGGACTTAGGGTGTAAGCTCAGTTATAAATAGAGGGAGTAACCCCTATTTTTGTAAGCAAGTCAAATAAGTTGTATTCACAGAATTTACAGTTGCAAGTGAATAACAAAGTTTTCACAATTTGTGAGCAGAGAGAAACTCTGCAGAAATTATTTGTCTTGTCTTCTTTTCTTTGTTTGTCTCATAATTAAATTGTCATTGTGGTAGAAATTCATTATAGACTTTGGTGGATTTCCAACAACTCAAGTTACATCAAGTGATTTGTATTTTACTGTTTAATTCAGTTTTAGTTTTATTTTTATAGTTGTTAGTTGATCTATTGTTGTAGAGAGATCAACTTAAGGGAGGGATTGTTGAGTTTATCTTACTGTCTGGAGTTTATTGGGCCTGGTTAGTGTTAGGCCCACTATTATGTATTGTTACCATTGCTTGTAGTCTATACAAGGCATAGTGAATACTGAATGAATGTTGATTGGAGCCATATTACCTAACATTATCATGAGACCAAAAGTCAAATAAAATGAAGAAGATGTTTGGTATATACTGTATTTTGAGTATTGATAAAAGTAAGCAAAAAAGATGCAGATTCCATGACAAAATTGATTTAGTTCTTCCACGTTAGAAGCTGCTGGACCAATGCAAAGGTGAATTTGAGAACACAGAATGCGCGTCGTGAAAGCAATGGCTGCATGTGGTTTGGTCGACGTTAGGTCATTAAGTTCTTTTGTAGAAAAACAAAATTTCTACTTTCAAAATAAATAAATAATTTTACTTTATAGAATTCTTGTCAATATAATTAGAGAATCTTTTGTGAGATACTCTCTCGGCCACCACTGAGAAAAAAACATTTGTTTTAATTCAAAGGATTCGCATCACGTGCTCACTTGTCGCTGTCTCTGTAATTTCTTGTCCACACGCACCTACCCCCTCTTGCATCTTCCTTTTTCTAATTCTTCTTTAACTATCCTAAAGATTCTCATTTTAATTTTATTTATGTCAAGATTTTTCTCTACTAAAATATATTATATTTTCAATGTACGTACTATGAAGCATTAAAACATGATGCTGTTCAAGTTCTAGATTTGTGTAGTTTTGTTTTTGGTCGAAATGTGTGGTTTGTGTTTAGACTGCAAATAAGGCAGGATCCGAATTCATTGGGGCTGCATGCATGGCATGGGGGGCCTGACAGATAGATAGATCAGTGGTCCATAACTTCTTGGGTCCAGTTTTTTTTTAATGTATTTTACTAAAATTTAAATATTTGTTATTAGTGGTAATGTAAATTAGTTTTATATTAATAATTAGTTTTTTTTATTATAATAAGAATTATTTGAGCTAGTTTTTTATTTTATTTTATGATATTATTTGAGATAATTATTAAAAAGTAATTTAAATTTGTTTACTTTTTTAGTCATAACAGTATAAGACCGTAGTATATAATAGTATACGATCATTTTTATATTTTACTTATATTTGATAATTAATGCATTGAACTATTTTTTTAACTAATTTATTTGATAGTATATTTCTTTTAATTTACATTTAATTTAAATTTAAATTTGATTTGTCCTATCATAAATTTAATAACTTTGGTCAGAATCATGTTGGTTGAAAGTATCCAATGCAAATAATCTATTAAGCCGTCTTAGAAAGTTCTACGCAAATAAAATATTTGAAATATTAAAATAACTATATATACTGTATGAAAAATAATATAAAATTAAAACTTTCTTTCTCTTCAAAAATATTATTCATTAATCTCTCTCTTTTTAATTAGATGGTGATTTTGTTAAGTGGACAAAAACGTTTAACCATAAGAAATCAATTTTTTTGTCCGTAGACAAAATAACAAACATCATCATGATATTATACACACACAAAGTAGAAATATCATAATTCAAACTCAAAATATTAGCATACTAATATTAAAGTTTCCATTAGGTCAAGTTTATTAATTAGATCTTGTAATAAGACTCATTTGTGCCTGCCCGTGACCAAAAATTGAATCTTTACGAAGGAAGATACCAACTACTATATGGCAAGAAAAAAGAAAGATACATATATAAACAAATAAAAAATCTAGAAGCAATGTATCATGCAGTTATTATCATTTTATCACTACTGATGATAGTTGATACGCATGTGGAAGAAACACGCCACATTTTGTTGGTGTTGGACCAAAAAACAAGTTGGTACGATTCTGAAAAGGGCACCACCCTTTGTTAAGAAGTACTCCCTAGGGAAGACAACGAGATTCTGATTCTACAAAACTTATGTTAGGTAGGAAAATGATTTATGATAGTATAATTTTTTTTTTTTTGTTTTTTTTACGTACCCTATCAAAATAATTTGTTTATTTGTATTATTTTGAATTTTTTTTATCTTCTTTTATAAAAAAAATTAGATTTTTTTCTCAAAACTTTTTTAATTCCTCCCTATATTTGTGTATGTGGCCAATGAAAAAGTTGACGTGGTTCAAAATTGTATTGCCACATCCTTAAACGAAAATTTAAATATTAAAATATTAAAATATAATTTTTTAAATTTTGATAATTACAATTTTATTTTTTAAGCATTACTCATTAAAAAAACAAATTAAAATTGATTTTAAAAAGAGAAAAAACGCATTGTTCTCAAAAGAATTTTAATCTTCTTTCGCTTTCATTTCGTTCATTCGTTTTATTGTTCTTCTGCATTCCATTGTTCGTTTGTTCATCGTTGAAGGTCAAGAAACTTATAATAACATTCCACTGTCATCGAAAAATAAAGAGGATGTGAAATTTTGTATGAGGTATGTTTCAATTTTTGGGTTTAGGGTTTATATTCTTCATGCAACAATGATTTGTGAAATTTCATTTTCATCCTCCAGCGAATATATTTTTCATCTATATAAAGGAGATATTGAAGCATTGGAAAATAACAATGCAAAGAACTACAACACACATATTCAAAGAAAAGAAAATCAAGAGAGAAATATTGAGAACACAAAGTTGAGAGGTTGTTCATAAAGAAGAAAGTCGTTATCATCTTGAAAGCTTTATAACTTTCATTCTTTGTAAATATTGTTGTATTGGAATTGTGTGTGTCAGCTTTCTAAGAAGCACTTTGTGAATAGAAAACCTTGTAATATTAACCAGTTGATTAATTTCCTTGATTGACGGATTGTCTATGAATTTATTTCCTCGAGGGACTAGGGTGTAGTCAGAAGCCTTGAGAAGACATTGATGGGTAGTCTTTGTGGTTGTAATCAAAGTTTTTATTAGTGAATTAAGTCCTTATGAGAAGGCGAAATTATATTGGTGGGTGGACTGGAGGTAGGCTAGTTAACGGTGAACTAGGATAAAATACTTGTTTTCTTTATCGTTGTTGATTCGATGTTGCTTGTTTTTTAGAGTTTGAAAAAGCTTCTAATCTAGAAACCCAATTCAAATCCATATTTCTTATGTTTCTTTGAACCTTCATTTATCTTCTATGCAATGAGAAAACTTCTTTAAATATGCATTCTTTAATCCTAGAACAATATCATTTTTGGCCAAAACATTCAACTCTTTTCACTAATATGACTAAGTCTTGGGTGCCATAAAGATGCTTTCATGTTGATAGCATTCACATTGTCTCTAAGAACCAAAGTTTTTGTCTGATACAGTTTAGAAAGCTTCTCCCATCTAGCCATAACCAAATTAGCTTTGTTGAGTTTCCACTTTCCAGAATTTAAGTGATTGTCATAACCACAATCACCAAGAATATACATAAATCAAACTTAAAGTGGACACCTGGAGCATGTTTAACACCTTTTAGTAACAATTGCATTTCCATGTTGGTTTGCAAGCAAACATCACCAATACCAATTACCTTAGATACACCTTCATTACCCGTCTTGAACACTCCAAAGTCATGATAAGTGTAAATGTGAAGAACTTCTTACTTGGTGTAACATGCAATGTAACACCACTATCAACTATCCACATGCTCCCGTATGATACGAGATTAACAGATTCATGATTGTGCAGAATAATAAGATCATCACTAGTAGCAGTAGTAACACGATCATCATCATGATCTTCATGGTCTTCATGATCTCTTTATTTAGACTTACCATTCTTTACTTTATTATACCTTTTTTCATTGATAGTAATACTTATGCATGTGTTCTATTTTGTTATAATAATGACACTCCAGATTCTTGTATCGTGACTTGATTCTTATATTCTCTCTACCACCCTTCAGTTCTTTTTTCAGACGTCTCCCCTATTTTCAGTGACAAGTACCTCCATTTGAGATGAATCACCATGCCTTCTTTCTCATCTCCTCATTAAGAATACACCCCTTATTCGTTTCGAAATAAATAACACCTCTAGGAGCACAACTTGTGATAGAAACCCGAACATCTCCCAAGACTCTAGTAAAGATAACGATAAAAATAGTCCCAAAAGTTCATCATCAAATTTGATATCCATCAAGCACATTTGATCAAGGAGTCATTGAAATTCACTCAAGTGATCTGAAATAGAAGTTCTCTCCTTATACTTTAAACTTATGAATCTATTCAACAAGAACAATTTATTATTCTATAATTTAGAGGCATACAATGACTATATCTTTCCCCACAAAGTTTTTCATGTGTCTCATTAGCAAAATGATTATAAACATTATCTTCTATGTATTTCCGAATAAAACCACATGCATGTATATGTTCAAACTCTCTTTCTTTATCACACACAAAATTTGACTTTCTGGAACTAAAAACCGGTAAATGCAATTTCATCATAGATAGTAAGTCTTTCATCTCGCTCTTTTAAAAATGGTAATTAGAACTATTCAACAATAGTATATTCATATTTGTATTTGAATCTATTATCCAAACAAGTAAAATAACCCTTAACCAAGAACTATAATGATACTCTGATGGGAAACTAACATGCAATAACAAACCAATATACAACGGAATTAAAATTTCTCAAACTTGTAAGAACCTATGAGGATCAACAACAAATATATGGCAGCAAATTGAACAAATAAAGACATAAGAGAACACCGATATTATAATGTGGAAAACCCTCAATGTGAGAGTAAAAAAGCACGGGTCATCCAGACCAAAGAAATAACTCTATTATAATCAAATAAGGGTACATGATAGCTAGTGCTAAAACAGAAAAATCACAATGCAAACTAGCTTACAAATAAAAAATAAGAAGTTGAAAAAAATACCCAAATCTGTAGCACCAGTGCGAAGTAGTTATTTCCCAACTTAGACTTTTTTTAAAAGATTCCAACTGTCAAAAATTAGATACAAATATTGTGAACCTTCCCTCTAAAAATGAGTTCGATTGAATGGTTAATGAATTTGAAATTGCTAATTTACTGAGACTGGTTGTTGAAAATGTGAATTGATTTCTATCTTCTTTTATCTCTTTTGAAACTGATTTTTCTACTTTATTTTCTTGCTTTCTCAACCCTAAACTAGTCATCTTCACTTAAAATAAGTGAGACACAAATGAGATAACATATTTGGTTCTTTCTCCTTATAGAAAAGGATCCCAAACCAACCTCTTGTAGGTTTTCTTTTTTGTCTCATTTGAAATTCGTGTTTGTGCATTTTTTTGGACAGAGTCGTCTTAAGTTTTTGGAGCCCTGTGTAGGGATGGAAATTTAACCCATCCTAATGGATACCCGCTAAAATTACTCACAACGGGTAGGGTAAAAACCTGCAAAATGAGTAAGGGTATATGCACGGGAAATTACCCACAAAAATAAGCGGGTATAAGCGCGGGTACAATTACCTTAGTACTCACTCGGCTTCATACCCGCACTATATATTTATAAATTTTTATTTTTATTATTATATACATATATGTTTATCAATTTTATTAAATACTTCACCATTAAACTTTTACTCTTTTTAATATAAGTGTTTGTTTATTTCTTAACTCAATAATAAACTTGTAAGCAATTTAATATATTTATTGGTACAAACTTAAAACGACATGATAAATTATAATTGATCTATAATTTTTTATTATAAATAAGGATAAACAGGTATGTGTGTGAATACTTATTTATCCATGAGGTACAAGAACGGCTACAAATGTTGGTACTCACGCAGGTATAGGTTCGGGCACTCACCCATAAGGTTGAACTCGGACTAACTGTGTGTAGTTAGTCCGAGTTCAACCTTGACAAAATTAATAGAAGGAAATTTAATCATAATTACAGCTTAATCATGACAAATATGTTATAAGGATCTATTTAATTATGATAAATTTGAAATACTATCTGATAGATTGTTTTTACTTTATTTGTGTGATTTTTTTATATATTTTTATTTTTCATTTAAAAAAAATGTTTTGAACACTAAATATAAATATCACTTTCCTATGAAATTTTTAAAATTTTATTTGTCACATCATATAAATTTAAACTCTTCTGTTATAATCCAATTAGTTAGAATTATTTACTTTTAATCTGGGAAGTAACATGCTAGAAGAATCTAAACAACCCATTCGAGGAAAGGCCCCAAATCTCAACATGAAAATAGTAATTTACTAAGCCGTCTTAGATGTATAATGATTCCCTGAATTTATAGCGGGAAAGTCAGGGTGCCTTTGAAAAAATCTCAACCATGAGATCAATCAAGCGGACCAAAACATGCCACAAGTTGCACTATTTTATTAAAAATAAAATGTTAAAGTTATAAAATAGAAAAAGAAAAGAGGAAGTACTGCATATCCACATTTGCGCCTCCTTCCATCTTCTACTTTCCACCGCCTGCCTCCTTCCACCTTTCATTGCAACAACTTCTTTTAACTTTTCATCATTGTCACGCCTTTAAACTTTTACCGCTAAGCCACTTTCAAGATTTCTTCATCGTTGCACTCTACTTCTTCTGGTTGTGTCGGCATCATCTAACCGATGAATGTCTTTACCGTTTTATTTTTCTCCGCTTCAGCTTGAACTTTAAACATAGTGATTTCCTTATTCCAAATGTTTTTGCAGAGTAATGATTCTCTTCATAAACTTTAATTGGAAATGGATTAATAACATCTTATAATGAAAGGAATAAGTTGAATGAGAATAAATATTTATGGTGAATGTTATGCTTTAATGCTTGCTGATATAGGTTTTAAAAAATTGTTTAAGTTTTGTTCAAAAATTAATGAAGAAGATGAATATATGGTAGAAAATGATATACATGATTGATCAGATGGTCTTTAAAGTCACCCTGACTTTCCCGCTATAAAGTCAGGGTATCCTCATCCGTCCTAGACAGTTCAACGCAAATAAAATATATGAAATATTAAAATAACTTCATATTGTATTGTCTTTGTTTTATTTAATTTAATGGAAAATTATGTAAAACTAAAACGTTCTTTCTCTTCAAAAATATTATTCATTGATCTCTCACTTTTTAATTAGATGGTGATTTTGTTAGGTGGAATAAAAAGTGGTTAGTTACAACCCTAAGCCTATGTTTGCGAGTTTGGAGGGGAGGGGAAAAGAAGGCTTTCGAAAACGAATTTTAAAAAAGATATAGAAAAATATTTGACATTTTTTGAAAAAATGACTCTGTATAGAACCATAAAATAGTGTCTATTATTACTATATTTTTAATTTTCAGAATACTATAACAACATAAAAGATATTTAAAAAATTTATGTAAGTCCTCCAAAACCTTCCTTCAATGTAAATTTTGAGTTCTCCCAAATTATGGGGTTTTTGGTGTTATGAAGAAACACAAACCCTCCAAAACCCTCCCAGTCTAAATCTTTCTATTCTTTTCACCTAATCCTTCATATTTTCCAAAACTCTCCCCTCTCTTTCCCTTTAAACTTTCAAACAAATCCTAAGAAAAAGCAGTAGACAAAATAACATACATCACCATGAACTTATATACACACAAAGTAGAAGATACAAACTTAAAAATATAGAAGCAATGTATCATGCATTTATTATCAAGTAGGTGATTCTGAAGACGACACTAGCTTTATTAAGAGATATTCCATCTGTAACAAATTATAAGTAAGTTTAAC